TTGAATGTCAGCTTCTTGTTTTCTAGATGAGCCATTTTTGTGGTTGGAATAGTTTAGAAAGAATATCCTGCTTTCTGATGTTGCATATTCTATCTGTCTTTCTGCATCATCTTTTGGTGCTTTCACATGACTGCATTTCTTTTGTTCCTGCCATTAAAGCCTAGTTCACACTACAAGAATTTTAAGTCCGATTTGTAAATCGTCGAGCTTGCCGACAGGTCAATCGCGGGGGATTAGCGGGCGATGAACGCTCGCCAATCTGTTAGTATGAAAGAGCCAACAACGCCGAGCCCAGAAAAATATCTAGCATACTCAGCCTCACGTGATGTCATGAGCTACAGCCAATCAGAGCAATGCATGGGTTGAGGTCACCGGGTAAATCTAGGGCCCTATGATTTCCGCGATCACGGAATCGCGGACGGAATTGGCCAAACGCGGAATCTAGTGTTAACGCGAAATTTCGTGGAATTTTACATATTTGGTTTGAAATTCTGTTTTTTGTGTGGAAGAAGAACAGATGTCTGGTGAAAAAGACCGGGGGAAGCAAATCTGGGCGACACAAACCCCCCAACCCGTCATTTCAGCTGCAATGATGAAATCGAAACAATGAAAGCATGGCGACGCGGCTCTCCTTTCGTCGGCAAAAAGTTACGAAACTCGACGCTATAAGCCGTCAGTGCCGAGCCGAGAAGTTCGCACGTGACTTATGCAGTGTTTCCCACACATGGACTAATTCGCCGCCACATACTGCATTTTTTAACACTATTTAAAACACGCAGCATATTATTTCAGTTGTATTTCCCCGCTCTCCCTCCGTCTCACTCGCGCGTCTCTCTCACCCGACAGGACAAAAGCGAAGCGAACTCCGTGAGCGACACAGCGAGAGAGATTGTGACTGATTGTGACTTTAGGCCTATTTAAATTTATATAAACTAATATAATTTATGTTACTGGACAGTTTAAAGCTCATAACCATATTTTGTTGTTACTTGAAGAGTGCAGTGTTATGTTGCATCGTGCAGTATTTGTCCTGAAAAGGCATCTGAGTTTAAAACATTTTAATCATTAACTTTAAAAGCACACTCTTTTTACGACTAAAATAACAGTCGAGGGTAAAAATTCCCTAATTCCCAAAAATTTAAACTCAATTTGGGAAAAAATAAAATGGGTTTCATAGGGCCCTATAAATCTTATTTTTCCTTCGTTTTCCTCAGAGCAAATCATCGCGTAAACAGTTTGCAGCATTAGTTTCTGTCTGACGTCCATATTCACGCGTCGTCTTCTTCGCTGGGTATTGGTGCGCGTGCTTTTTCGCGCCATTTCCGGTTTGTTTTATCGCGTGATTTTTCGTGACATACTGTGGTTCGTAGACACGATAGAATCGTTGGGTGACGGAGTTGTTGTCAACTCGTGTAGTGCGTTACCTCCTGTTGCGGATCAATCACGTTGTGTCGTGTGGTGTGAACAGTTCAACAACTTGAACACTCCTGATTTCACAGAGAGCACGTCATGTAGCGTGAACCTCACAGTTCAGCCCGACGTTTTAAAATCATGTAGTGTGAACTAGGCTTAAGGTTGTTTTGGGTGAATGTGAACTTACTTGGTGTCAGTGCAGTAGTCAAATTTTAAATTGCAAGCCGGAGATATCGATCACTTCACAATCACATTCTTTCTCAGAGCCTGTTCACAGGCCGGGTTAGTAGCCTATATCATTTATATTTCTATAGGGTTGCTAGTACTGCTTGTGTGTTTTGGGATCATCCATCAGGCAAGATTGATTTAAGGTTGATTTATGGACCAGTTACTTGAGGTTAAGGGGGTTGTTCAAATGTTTAACAAGTAAATCTGATAGTAATAGTGATGCATGCCTTGGCAAACCACACTAATAAAAAAGTGTCTCAAGTACAGGTTCTTAAGTACAGTTTGCTTCAAGTGCCAAACAAACAAGTGGCATTGTGAGAGTGTGATATTAATAGCTCGTTGCTTTACTCGACAAGTGTGGTGTGGTAAAGAGGGGCGGTTTGTAAAATTGAAACAAAATGTCTTCCTGCTGTATATTGCAGACCACTTGTGGCATTTTATTAGTGGTATTTTTTTTATTGCACAGTTCAGTGCATTGTTGTATTTGAAAAATAACCATAAAGACAAAATTGGACATGTTTGAAATGTCGAGCCACGACAACGACAATCAGTTTCCTGTCTTTACATAATTCATGTTATTCCTGTTAGCGGAGAGTATAAAATTAGGTAGTCAGAGCAGCAGGGGAAGACAGTGTTTTTAGAGGGAAGTGTGTTATATCCTCACTGTAAGGGCTTCTGTGGATTGCGCTGCTGTTGGCGCCCCTTTTGCCGTCTCCTGCTCTAGCCAGCACTCTTCAACCCATAGTGCTCATCACACACCAATGCCTGTGTGCCAATACAGGAAGACCGTTTCAGTCTCTGCAGCTCAGACAGGAAGTGACTTCATGTTGTGCATGGGGCTTGCTGCAGCTTTCATGCCAGAGCTACTTTGCATTGAACAGAGTGGCATTCAGTGTTGGTTGATATATTAATGAGGTCAGGGCGCTCAGTGTCATAATCATATCTGGTTCACAAATATGCCGCATGCACTGCACTTCTTTTCTTGTGAAAATAAGGTGGGAGGATTGAACCAGTGTGAATTTACTGTTACACACAAAGAATTATAGGAAACTGTCATGAGTAACTGCCAACAGCATCAAAACAAAACATGCACTACCTTAAATGTATTTAAAGCAGTCTCAAAAATGGTTACAAACACACACTCACTTTATGTAACACACGCTTACAGTACATTGTAAGAATATCACTAACATGGTGTAAAGAATATAAGGTTAGGCTATTAAAAAGTAGCCTAGTGCTAAACTTTTTTTTTTTTTTAAATACATTAAAATTAGTAAATTGATATGAGCCCCTGTCATCAAAAATAGCACAAAGCAGTCCTTACAGAAAAACAAACGCTGTTGTTTTGTGATTTTTTTTTCGGGCAAAAATCCTTGATTATGTGGCCCGTTTTCTTTAAAAATGCGATGGAATATGCGGGATATTTATTCACTTCATAACGTTCCCATGGAAACAGAGGGAAATGGCTGCTCTTATGTGAAGCAAACGCAACATTTTTCAACTTTCTGCTAAGATATATGTGACTTTTTTTGCGACAAATGCGAGGATTATGAAATCATGCAAACCCCGCATATTTTGCACGGAAATCGTCAATTTATGCGGCGTATTTGAAAAAATGCGGCCCCCACAAGAATATGCGGACTTTGGCTGATTATGCATTGAATTCAGCGATCGCATAATCGCGTTTTTCTGGAGGGACTGACAAAGTGAAAGTCAAGTGGTATTTTGGGTTAACATTGCAGAAACTACAGTTACCATGATAAATACAATAATTTATTGGTACTTTTTGGTGACTTACTAATTGACAATGGAGCTATGAGGTTACCTGCTCATAATTTCATTTGCGAACGGCACGCTACGAACACAGTAGTCTTTAACATCTGACTGTACTGGAAAGTTTATTTTTCTGGGGTGAGATGAGATACTTATTATTTAGTAACAAGTTTTGAAAATAATGTTAGAAAAATTTTACCAAATTGCTTTATGCTCTGTTATAGTTTATTTTCCACATTTCCCTCCATCTCATGAACAAGTTGAGTGCAAGTATACTCTTTAGGCCGCGAGCGTGGAAAGACGCGCTCAACGCGTGCGCACTGTCTAGTGGGCTTCGTTTTCAAGCACTCAAGTCACTCGCACGTGTTGTTGTACGCACACTCGCATGTGAAATGTTTTTATGGTTGTCGTTTTTTTGACTACACACTGCGTGACTCGCAATAACGAACTTGTGACCCACTAATGGGGTTACTTTCTTATTTGACTTTCTTAATCATTCCAATGGACCAATGAATGGAATTAAGGCCCTCCCTTTTTTTTTTTTTGGAATACGCTGTTTCGCTCAGAAATACATTATATTACACAAGTAAAACGTGTTGTGAATGCTGTTTCGTCTCGACGTTTAAATCTCTGTCTGCCAACTGTTCAGTTGTTCACTTTTAATGTAGAGCAGAAATACATCAGGTACATTTGGTTTCTGTTTCCAGATGCAGTTTATTTCCCTAACTGCCTGCTAATTTGTTCCCATGAGAGTTTTAAATGACGAATCCAGACTTGCATGTGTCATCGAGTTCAGTTCAGAAGTTTCTTCTCCCTACACTTGTTATAGTGGAAAAAGAGCAGCAACAACTTTGAGATACGTGTTGCTCATCACTCCGAAAGTGAATTTTTTTTTTTTTTTTTTTTTTTACTTCTCATTTCTGTTTTCTGGTGCTCTCAATTCTCAAGCTGTGGGGCGTGAGTTATTAACTTTTTATTTGTGGAACAGCACTGCTTTATTTAACCTGATGTTAACGTCAAGATACACAGATCTTTGAGTAAACGGTCTGATCCACATTGTGGCCTAGAAGAATCTGACTGACATGATTTATTTTTAGGAGCAGCTTTATTTGAAATGGGATGTACCACAAAAATAATGTAATTTAGTTTTAAATTTTGATTTCATATTTTATAAATGTAAATAACAGCAAAGGTGTCCAAAAGTGTATGTAATGAATAACCCAGGAAAATAGCAGAAAACGTAAAAGTAACGCTTGGACAGGCTTTTTGCAAGCCTGCTTGCTGCTCAGCTCTTCTTCCTGTCTGAGGCATCGGAAAATCTTCAGCCGCCACTTCCCCTTTGAAAGTGTGTGTGCTTGAACTGTATTTGCTGCTAAACTGTGTTTGCTGACATGCTCGGTAGGTCTAATTTAATTTTGAGGCATTGTTTAAATTTGAGTTAATGTTCTATACGTGCATCTTCCTAAAAACAGCTCTTCAGGATTTAGCATTGAGATGATCTGTTTGTTCAGTGATTGTTTCATTGTTTGGAAATAGCAATGTGGTTTTCTTATTTCCAATAATGAATCAATGTGCTTTCTCACCAGGTTTTTGGCCAGTTCTGGCTACAGCTGTACGCCTCAGGCTCAGCTCTGATGTTACCGGCTGAAACGGGTTGACTGTGAGAGGACGATTTCCCTCGGATATGTCTACCTTTGAGGTAACACAAACCTTAGGATCTAATGTGAATTAGGGCTGGGGTTTATTTTGTTGTAGTTTGGACATCAAGGGCTTGTCCTGATATTTTTCATTTACTTGTAATTTTCTTTTTTTTATTAGACAATCTGGCCTCCGGGCACCGAGTGTGTGGCCAGGTACAACTTCCCTGGAACGGCAGACCAGGACTTGCCTATGAGCAAAGGAGATGTCCTTACTATAATTGGAGTAACTAAGGTAAAGTTCTCAAAAGGAATGTTTGAATAAAATGTATTTAAAGAGTTCATCATTTACTCACGTCATGTTGTTTCAGAACTGTATGACTTTATGTCTTCTTTAGATAGCAAGAAAAAAAATAAAATTTTTCAGATATTTTGAAAGATAGATGATTTGAAAAAAAAATGTCTCAGTTGGGATGCACGATATTTCTGCCACCATAGTGGTATTGGCCTATATATGGTCATTTTTTAAGCTTCCTTGTTATATTTAAATATTTCCTTTCTATAAAAATCTATTGCTTCTATAAGTTCAGAAAGTCTTCCAGGTTTGTGGAGCCTGTCACTAAAAACAGACCCACAGCATTTGATCACTGGATTTACAGAAATGACTTTGTTGTTGCTTCATTCCAGGATCCAAACTGGTACAAAGCAAAAAACTCGGCGGGACGAGAGGGTACCATACCAGCAAACTATGTTCAGAAGAGAGAAGGAGTGAAGTCTGGCGGTAAACTGAGCCTAATGCCGTAAGTACGCGGTTCATTCACGTGTTTTTTTTTAATTTTATGAGATTGTTTTGTCAGCACTGATTCTCATTCATATATACAAATTAGAAAGAGTATTTGTGTGAGTTTCATGCATACAAACACTAGCACGCTATATTTAGCATGTATCACTGATATCATCACAGATCACCTACTATATCTGTAATTATACACAAATTTCTTCCTGCTTTCCGGTCCGCCACAATAACCCAAAGACTCATTTGAATCGGCCAGCTGTTTAAAATAGAAGGAGAAATCAGAAAGTTATACAAATGGCGCCACTCAGGCCAATGGAAAAAGTCCATCTCTTGGCATCTGATATGCAAAAGACAGAGACATGCATCATGATAAGAGTTCGGTTGTAAGAGAGCATGTGATATTCTTCAATTACTGACTGCTTTGAGAGAGAGAACAATGGATATAATGATGTAGATGTCTCAATTTTATTTACGATAGCGAGACAAAACTGCTTGCAGCATCAATTGAATCTTAACCTGATGTATATGATCTGGATGTCTGCTTTTAACCATGTGTAATGGGAGGTTTAGATTTGGATGAGTTTGGCTTTAGCTGATTGTGATGGTGGCAGATTTTTTTTGGTTGTCTAGTCTTTGTTAAGTGCACAGCTTTGGTTTATTTTTGATGGTGTGTATGTATGTGTGGGTAATTGTGAGATACAGATTGGATGTTTGTCATGCCAGGAAAGCCACAGAAGGGCCAGGCAAGGCCAGCGCTGCTTTTGGAAGCCTGTAATTTAGCTTCCTTTTCTCAGTCCTCTGCACAATATTGTGCATCTGAATCAGTGTTTCTTACTGAATTCTCTCCATAGTTGGTCAAGTACATGCAAAACAATACTATTTTTGTGACACATTTTAGTTTTTTTTTTTTTTAGTAAAAAACCAGTGCATCACATACAAGTCTTAACTCGCATGTTTGAGTTATTCTTGACCAATTCATTAAAGAACCAACTCCTAAGAGTGATTATTTTGTGAATTGGACTTCATTAATTCATTTAGCAAATGTTTTTATTTAAAGTGACTTTCAAATTAGGAATATCACAACCAATTGGTCATAATTTCAATTTATTATTATTATTATTTTTATTTTTTATCATATTCAGTACTCACTCACACACACACAAGCTGTTGAAGCTCCGCCCTCTGTGCTGGGAGCAGTAGTTAATTTGCATTTAAAGGGACACAAACGAAGCAACGTGTTTTTACTGACCCTCCAAAAGGGACAATTTCAATATGCTGTACAAAATTATCGGTGGGGTATTTTGAGCTAAAACTTCACTTCTGGGGACAACAGAGATATTTTACATATTGTAAAAAGGGGCATTATACCACCCCTTCAAAAAAAATACTTCTAAACCTATTTTTTTAAATACAGTAAAATACTATTTAATACAACAAAGCTCTTTTTTTTTAAACAGATTAACAAAGTGCAAGACTGATTCAAAACAATAACGTTTGGGTTCATGAACCTTTTTGAGTGATCCATTAAAAGATCAGACTGGAGTCATTCATTTGCAAATATGCAATTTAGTAGTGCTGCGATTTCTGCGCTTTAGACTTTATAAACTTTATTAACTGACTAAAAAGAAAAGCAATTCTTTGTCCGACAACACAAAATATATATTGATAACAAACACATGTCCTTTATCTGTGGTCACTCAGATGGTTCCATGGAAAGATCACGCGTGAGCAGGCCGAGGGGCTTCTCTACCCCCCAGAGACAGGCCTCTTCCTGGTGCGCGAGAGCACCAACTACCCCGGCGACTACACCCTGTGTGTCAGCTGCGACGGCAAGGTGGAGCATTACCGCATCATCTACCACAACGGCAAACTGTCCATCGACGAGGAGGAGTACTTTGAAAACCTCATGCAGCTCATGGAGGTGAGGGTTGCTGGCTTGATTTAAGCTTCAGATTAGCCTAAAGAAAGTTGTATCAAAAACCATTTAGATATACAAACCTAGTCCACTCATATTACTTTGGATATGAGAACGCGCAATGGGAATATGGTGGAGGCATAAGTCATGCCTTCTAAATAAATAATCAATGGCTAATTGGCAAGTCATTGTGTCACTACAGCTCCGGCTGCAATAAAAACACACTCTGTTCTGAGACATACGCTTAGGACTGCATGTGCATTGGCTAGCCCTGCCTGAAAAATGCTGTTTGTTTGTTTTGTTTTTTTTTTGTCATGAGCTTGAAACGTTTAGAAACACAATTTATGAGACCGTTGTCAGATTTCATTAGTTGTTTCAAATGTGAAATGTAATCGCAAGGTTGGTGAACAGGTTTGGAGAATTTGAAGACTTATGAGTTGTACTTGCATGACTGAAACGGCTGCCAGTGAGGCATTTCAAAGATGGCCGCTGAGTGAAATGACTTCCCTTAAAGAGTCTCTGGTTGTATATTTACAGATAACTGACATAACTAATTTAGGGTCTTATGGATATTTGGCAAAATGTGATTCATTTGTGTGTATATATATTTACATCCCACAAATCTCCATCAACTGCAAGATGCGATCCTATCAATATAGGCCAACATTTCTAAAGAATGCTTTCAGCACCTTGTTGAATCAATGCCACGTAGAATTAAGACAGTTCTGAAGGTGAAAGGGGGTCAAACACAGTATTAGTATGGTATTAGTCAGTTATATATATATATATATATATATATATATATATATAATAACGGTCAGTAACAGTAATAACAGTAACAGATATATATATATATATATATATATATATAATAATTATTATATAATAATATATATAACGGTCTCATAAATCTTTCCATATATATATATATATATATATATAATTATATATAATAAATGTTTTATCAATGTTATATATATATATTATATAATGTATGTATAAATTAAAGAGCAAAAAACATTCCACGGTCATCTAAGTGGGTTGTGAAACTATCAAGCTTCTTCCTGTGAGTCCTTTCATCGCCTCTGTCAACATTTTCAAATTGATCGCCACACACACAAAGCCAAAAATAGCCCTAACAGGAAGTCAGTCCACATCAGACGCACTGGGCACAGAGATGAAGCAAGCATTTACGATAGACTCCAGGAAACAATTTTTTTTACACGCACACCTTTTGTTTTGAGGTCAAAGGTTCAGTCTAGGTTGTATTGAAGAAAGTGACACCGCTTAACGAGTGTCTTAATGGAAAGGGGTTTATTCTAGTTGTATGTTAAAGTTTAACAAAGCAGAAGCAGTGCTATAGCATAGTGATGGTATCATCAGATGTAATACAATGTTACTTTGATATATTAGTACTTTCTTAATCAATTACTACTAGGGATATTTGGATGCCAGCTTGTTACTGGTGGTTGCTGTGTGCTTGCTAAGATGTTCGGAGTGGTTTTAGTGTTTTTTTGTATATCATAGATTGTTTGAGATGATTGCTTATTGCCACTAGTCGAAAGAAAAAAGTTGTAGGAATTTTGTGGCCATTATCGGTCTGCTTTAAATAGCAATTGCACACGTCTTCTCAAACTAGCTTCATCATTTGATGTAACATGCAAATCTGTAGCAAAAAGCCTTAGTTAGCAAGCACCACTAATGAAAAGAAAGCCTTAAAAAGGGCTGATTTACATAATGTAATTTGTATAATTTTACATATCTTTTTTTAATTCCACTGGTCATTGGCTTTATTAGAGTCTGTCTGTGTGAGTTACCATTCATCCGTTCTCAGTTAAGTGTTGATAATGGTTCTGCTCTGGTTAGCTAGATTGGGGTCTGGGTGGCTTTAGTGGTCAGAGCAGACGCTCTATGGTTCCTCAAGTCTTTCCTCGCCCTTTCTATTACGGAATTCCACGCATTCTTTAGTGTAATTTTGGCTACAGTCACTCTCTCTTTCTCCCACCCTTATAGCCTCAGCTGAACAGTTTTGCTTAAACAGAGTATACAAAAAGGCTTTATATCCATAGTGATTAGACTACTAGAGAAGGTTCCTCCCACAATCCACTCGATAACATTCCTCATAAACCAGTGGAGATATAGCCAATAAAAGCCTCAAACTGATGATACTGTGTCCACTGTTGTTTGTCCATTAGTCACATTACATCACATTACTGCTCTGGTTCTGACCAGTTAACTTTATTATGTTTATACTTCTATTCAAAAAGGATGCCTTAAATTAATCAAAAGTGACATTACATAGATTTATAATGTTGCAAAAGATATCCATTTCACATAAATACTGTTCTTTTGAACTTAAACGTATCCTGAAAAAAGAAATCCATCATGGTTTCCACATAAATATTAACATTTTTTCAACATTGATGATAGGAAATGTTTCTTGAGCTTATTCATCAGCTTATTGTAATGATTTCTGAAGGATTTTCTAAAATGGTAATCGGTTATTCCGAGAATCACTGAAGTGTTCGTTAACAGTCTAGTCATTCAAATGTGTTGTTATTTTGAGCGCGTGCATGGGTGCATAAGAACGGCGCGCGCACGCCCGCCCGCTCGCTCCAGTTCCTGGAACAGTTGATAACGAGGAAGTGACAAAGAGGAAACGAGCGCGGGTTCCAGATCATTTCAACCGCTCAATCGATGCAGTTTCATTCATGTAACAAGATTATCTCGTCGTCTGGCCACACAATTATAGCGTCCAGACTTATGGAATCACAAACACGCATTTCAGCACTGAAATGATAAGAATGTTCTCGCCTGTGTGGACTTGTTTCTCTGAGGAGAGGAAAAGGAAACAAGTCCCACTCAATAGCGCATACATGTACAACAGCGCGCTCTGCTGGCCATCCAAATTTACTGCGTTGCATGTGCTTATTGGAAGAAAAAACATTTGTAAAACGTTACGTATTTCAGGAGTCATTGTCCATTTAAACAGCACATTCGAGGCTCATTTTACTTTTTCAGTTGTATATAATGTTTGCATATAGTTTTGCATAATTCAGTAAAGTGTTCATTTGTTTAAATGTAATGTAGCGTGGTATTATGCATATTATGCTAGTATGCATATTTTATCATTATACTGCCTTGTTACTTTGTTGTAAATGAGGTGTGTGTGTGTGTGTGTGTGTGTGTGTGTGACAGCACTACACTAAAGATGCAGATGGACTCTGTACCAGACTTATCAAACCTAAACTCATGGAGGGGACTGTGGCGGCCCAGGATGAGTTTTCTAGGAGTAAGCGATTTCTTGACTATTCATTTTCACACCTGCATTTGCCACATTTATACAGGTTTAAATTGCTGCATGGCTTCAAAGTTTGTTTTATGAAAGGTATTTTTAAGTTCATTAATCTTCCTTCCCCACAGGTGGCTGGGCTCTGAATAGAAAAGAACTGAAGCTTAATCAGACCATTGGAAAGGGAGAGTTTGGAGGTACGAATGTGCTAATGGGATGCTTTTTTGTGATTAGAAACCACATCTAGTTCAGTGGATCTAAATTAATTTGGTTAATAAAGTGAGATTAAATGCATAAAGTATTTTTGCATTATTTAACATTTATTGCAGGTTTGCGTTCTGAGTTTGCATTTCACTGTTGTTGTTGTAGTTTTTTTTTCCCCCCCCCCAAGTGTGATGAGTAAATGCATGCTCACGTTTAGTCTAGAACCACAATAACCATCATGTTCACACAGCGCACGCAACAAATCTGGACCTTCAGGGAACAGGAGAGCTCAGTCAATAAATGTGAAAACAACGTAATCCGCATTACTTAAAAAAGTAACTCAGATATTTTGTTGAAAATTTAAAAAGTGATGAGTTTACTGATTAAAAGTAATCTGATTACATAAGTCACGTTACTTGTAATGCGTTACCCACAACACTGCTTATGAAAATAAACATAAATATATTAACAGTACCATGATGAACGTCAATAATACTACAAAAATATGCTCTTTGATTTTTAGATGTGATGGTTGGAGACTACCGAGGCAAGAAAGTAGCTGTGAAATGTATCAAAAATGACGCAACAGCGCAGGCCTTTGTTGCCGAGGCTTCAGTCATGACGTATGTCTCCCCCGATTGACCAATCGGAATCAAATGTTCCAGAGAATAAAAATAATACGGCTTTCTATATCAATATATATATATTTAAATATCCATATTGATGTTGACTGTTACAGGCAGTTACGGCATAATAACTTGGTACAGCTGCTGGGAGTGATTGTGGAAGAGAAGGGCAGCCTCTTCATTGTCACTGAGTACATGGCCAAGGTCAGTGACTCCAACCTGTTATCACTGAGAACAACTGGACTGATGCATTTAATCTTGTCGTTTAGCCATAGAAAAGTATATTTTGAGAAATAACGTTCTTAAAGTGTTATTATTGATGTCTTCATTTCTTTCTTCAGGGTAGTCTAGTGGACTATCTGCGCTCCCGAGGACGTACTGTTATTGGTGGAGATCGATTGATCAACTTCTCAATGTAAGTTTCTTTTTATCACTTCTGTACTCATCCAACTTTATGAAATGAATTGAGTATATCTTCATTTTTTACAATTTTTCTTGTTGATTTAATATTTTAGGGATGTCTGCAAGGCGATGGAATATCTCGAGGCCAGTAACTTTGTGCACAGGGATCTGGCGGCTCGTAATGTTCTAGTGTCAGAAGACAACATAGCAAAAGTCAGCGACTTCGGCCTCACCAAGGAAGCGTCCTCATCTCAAGATACAGCCAAACTCCCGGTTAAGTGGACTTCACCTGAGGCCTTACGAGAGAAGGTGTGTTGTCTGCTTTTGGTTTAAATGGAGACATGCAAGAGGTCACGTTCTCTAATCTGTTTATTTTCTACCTTTCTGTCGGAAACAGAAGTTTTCCACTAAGTCAGATGTATGGAGCTATGGCATCTTACTGTGGGAGATCTATTCCTTTGGCAGGGTACCATATCCAAGAATTGTAAGTCACTTCAAACCAGAAACACGAAAAAATAAAGAATATATTTGTAGTTTTTATTTATTTTATTGATAAATCAATGTATTATTGTTATTATTATTGATCTAATTTGCATTAAAACTACTAAAATAATCAGGATTTATTATTATCAATACATTTTCACATTTTTATTTTAGTATTTATTTCTGTTTTTTTATCATTATTATAGTTTTAATTATCTAATTTAAGTTAAATATTATTAAAATACCCTATTTATTTAAAGTCACTTCATAGCAGAAACATGACCAATGAAAATACAATTTTTTTTTTAAATACTATTAATATACTAGAATTCGAATCCTATTAGTATTATATTAATATATAATAATAATAATTTAAAATAAAATAACTTGGGATATAAAAATCAATACTTGTTTAATCTACAGCTATAATTGGTCACTTCAAAACAGAAACATGACCATTAAAAAAACAAACAGATGATATTATTAATATAATACTATTAGTATTATATCAATATACATTATAATAATCAGAAACATGACCAATAAAAATACAATTTTCATAATATTATTTAATTATATATTATTTTATTTATTAAATGTAGTTTTAATAAAAAAAGATCTAAATGTTCATATTTTTTATATTTTAGATATTATCAATGCTATCATAATTTAGTAATCTATTTATATATTTTAATACTTTACAAAATGTTTATCTGATTATTTTAGTGTCCAGGTAAATTCTACCAGTAGAGGACACTGTTTTCTACTTAAGCACAATCTCCCTATGTCATGGTGTCCTTCGTCCTGTCTTCTCACAGCCTCTGAAGGAAGTTGTCCCGCGTGTAGAGAAGGGTTATAAGATGGACGCCCCCGACGTCTGCCCGGTCGTGGTGTATGACCTCATGAAGCAGTGCTGGACTCTGGACCCTGTGGTGCGGCCCAGCTTCAGAGAACTGAAAGAGAAACTTCAAGATATCATAACCAATGAGCTGTACCGATAAAAGACAAAAACTAAAGGAAAAACACAGGAGGAAGACCTCCATGGGACCATTCTCATACAATCTGACCAAAATCTACTCCTAAAGCAGTGGACTTTAAAAACTTCAGCAGAAATTTCTTTTGCGAGCGCATACTTGTTTTTTCTTTGCATTGTTTTCATAGCTTGATTTTCTTAATTTTGGGGAGGCTGGCCTTCTCTACACCAACTCATCTTTTTTTGAATCATAAGATCTTCAGCCTCCTCTGATTCATCCTCATACACTCCCTCATTGCGGACGTTTGATTAGCATATAGTGCTTTCTGCCAAAAAAAGAATTTTATTACTAAATCTGTCCATAAAACAAAGCAAAATAAAATTTTCATGAGAAATGACATTTGGCACCAATAAGGCAGGTTTTTTTGCTAAATCGTGTACCCAAAAACAATAATTGGCACTTAGGGAAGCTGTATGTCCATCCCAAACTGTTCTCAGTTCCAGTAGCCAATGGAATACACAAGAGAATCTTTCTTCCATTTCACAGTGCCTTTAACGGCAGAAGTCTGTCTCACCACAGAGCTTGTTTTTTATTTTATTTTAAATATGGTGTGTAAAAGCGCTTTGATTTCCTGTTGTCGTTCTCATCTTTCCAAACATGTCAGTCTGAGCCTCTTAACCAGAAAGGATGAATATACACATTGTAGGCCTTTCAAAAGTGTGGCTTGGGTGGAAGCTGAAATGCTTTAAAGGGATAGTTCACCCAAAAATGAACATTCTGTCATCATTTACTCACCCTCAAGTTTTTTTGTTCTGATGAACACAAAAGATGATATTTTGAAGAATGTTTCTAGTCCCCATTTACTTGCATAGTATGAAAAAAAAATACTATGAAAGTCAATGGGAATCAGAAACTGTTTGGTTACCAACATTCTTCAAAATATCTTTTGTGTTCAGCAGAAGAAAGAAACTCATACAGGTTTGGAACAACTTGAAGGTGAGTAAATGACAGAATTTTCATTTTTGGGCAAACTATACCTTTTGTTAAAAATAAAAAAAAAGATATATTAAAAAATATAAGAGAAATTATACAAAAAAAGCCACAAATACAGATTTGTTAAATATTTGTTATATATTATATGCTGTTTATTGCAAAGGACTTGACTTTGCAGTGCTTTTCTCTTTTCTTTTTTTGCTGCCATATTTCAGATAAAATCATTCCACCTTAACAGTTTGATAAAAACAGAAGAGAAATGACAAAAAATAAAAAGGCTGCCTAAAAGCTTTGAATGTGTGTTTATGTGCCCTTAAATGTGACCAAACATTTTAAAGTTTATGCAAAGAAACTCTAAACGCACCCAGAGAGGAAACATGTCATTTATACAAACTTCTGCATGTTTAGCAGCGACCCATACAGACTCGTGACACATGACAGATTTTCACCATAAGCTTTTGACAGACGTACCGATGCCAGATCTGTTTGACGTATGTCACGTCTTTAAAATCACATCATGCCTCCACCAGAATGTGAACGGTTTGTTCTCTGGTCTATCTATAGGACGCTGTATTTCTGCTAGAGGAAGATTCATGAGCGCAGAGCTAGAATGAAACCTAAACCACTGAAATGCTGTTTGTGGTTTTCAGTGAAGGTGAATCCACCTCTGGTGTACAACTAAATCTTTGAACGAAAACAACAACACAGGGAAATGTTTTGCATTTCTCTTTTATAGATAAAAATATTTGAATAAATTTTTAAATTATGTGTAAATTATGATTTTGGAAAAATGCTATTTGTTTTCACAATATTTTGAAACTCTCTTCACGAGATCACACATAGAATTAGATATTTTGGAGGGCTGCTCAGGGCTTGGAATTAAGCCCAAATCCAGAGTAGCCTACCTTCCCCTGATAACCCTGACTGGGATAGGAACCCGTCGAGAGCGAAGAGTTGGAGTGGTGGAGGGATGCTGTCGTGGGACGGAGGTGAGAGAGAATACATATTTTTTGGTCTTGTCTTTTTTTTAGTGTGTGTGTATATATATATATATATATATATATATATATATACATACTGTATATGCACATATATACATACATAATATATATATATATATATAGTTTTATTGTTTTTATTCATTGAACTTTATAGTGGCATGCAAATGTGCATGTATGTGTGTGAATATATATATAAATATATACACATATATATATATTCACACACATACATGCATATTTGCATGCCACTAAAAAGTTCAATGAATTAAAACAATTATTTATTATATATACATACACACACACATATATGTATATATACACATAAATATACATATATATATATGAAGAGTTCAGATGCAAAAGCCTCTAAATGCCATTTTAAATTTTCTTCTAAAATGACCATTTTTATGAAGCTTGTATATTTAAGTTCAGTAATTTCACTTAAATGACAATTAATAGGTAATATTCATTGCCATTAAAGTGAAATTACTGAACTTAAATATACAAGCTTGATAAAAATGGTCATTTTAGAAGAAAATTTAAAATGGCATTTAGAGGCTTTTGCATCTGAACTCTTCATATATGTATATTTATGTGTATATATACATATATTTGCGTATATATGTGTATATATATGTGTATTTAATATTTATATATATATTTTAAATGTGTGTATATATATAAGTGTGTGTGTGTGTGTATTAAATGCATTAGGTAGATGATAGACGATGCGCAGCTCACTGCATATAAAATAATGCATAATTGAATATTATGCTAATTTATGTTGATCTAATGGTTTCATTTTTATTTTAAAAGAAAGGGGAAGGAAACAACCTGTAGTACTTCCCCTTAAAAGTGAGATCCGAAAAAGCGTAAAAAACTTCAAGCAAGCAAGCTGCCTTACAAGAAAGCATGAGGTAAGTTCGGGAGACGGGACTTCAGCTTCCCCCTCGGGCGTCCTGTGTGCTTCACGCCAGAACGCTTGACTGTGGATGTCACCATGCATGTGTCACGATTTGCTCTGTTTTGTGGCCTATTTGGAAGACATTGCCAAGGGACAGTAAGAAGAGTTTAATTCAACCGTATCGTTTCTGATCTCATGTTATGAGGGATGAACAGAAATGTTGAAACCATCCCTGCCTTAGCAATCAATAGCAGTGGTTTATACGTTCTTCAGTCTTTATCTCCGTGAGATGCAGAGTTCATGCGTTCGCCTGAAGAGAGCAACATTAAGTGACACGCTTTGTTTGATTCTGTAAAATACCAAAGTTCCTCCAGCTGTGGGTTTAGATATGCTCCGCAGTGCTCGTCAGCCCCCATTTATATCTCTCCAATGACATTAGGGCTCAGGCCCGGAACCGGCCTTCACCCACGCCCAGCCTAAGGGAGCTCGCATGCCAGTGTACATCCCAATCAACGCTAGAAGTGGAGTCCTCACGATGCTTACGTTCATGACAGTCTTCTCTTATGCAAAACGCATCCCTCTGCTATTTGCATTTGGGCCAGAAATGTGCTCATGAAGGGTTCGAGAGACTCGCTAGGGCACTGCTTCAGGCAAGAGAGAAAAACCTTCTCAATGCCCTGGCATTTACCTGAGGAATCATTGACCCTTATAGACAACAAGTGCTGCTGGAAAAGGTTTGGCAAAGAGTCTAGTCTGCTTGTTTGGAGCATAAATGTAATTCACTATAGCCTCTTGTTCTTCACTGGACAAATGAGGACAAATCAGACTGCAGCTGGTCATGTTTAATGCATGTATGATAATGAATTCAGTGTACCGTCCCTGAATAAACTCATATTATATGAGATCTACATCTGAAAGCAGTTGGATTCAGCAAAATGAATGTTCAAAGCAAATGTAATTGTTAAAATTCCCCCAAATGGTACAAAGCTTTGACTAACAAAGCTTTAATTATACAATGATTGACTCTTAAGAATTTGCATATTTAAATCCAAACAGCGACTTTTTGGCCTGTGTGTGTGTAGATTAGAGGTCAAAATCGAAATGAATATAATTTTGACCACTATATGTTGTTTATATTAATATAATACCTTAAAATGTCATATATTAAACTCTAACAACTTAAATTAAATACATATTTAATTCATTTTAAAACAGGCAGGCAAGCTTAAAGCTAAACTTTAGCCTAAAGCATCAATAAATATAGAAGTATTTATTATACATTTTCCCACAGCTGTAAGACTGTAGACAACCCTTTTAGCATAAAAGTGTAAATCACAGTCCCTTACGCTGTAATGTGTTTCAATAGTGGGCACAGATGAGGTGTTTCACTTGTGATTTGCTCAACACAGGACAGAAGTGACAGTGGCAGCTCATCATTACTCATTCTGACTCAACAAGCCCACAGGCTGTCATTAACGGAGCGCAAAAAAAAAAAAAAACCGTAATTGAACCAATGAAAGTATTTCCTGTCTCGTAACAAATCAAATATAACGTATTTGATTGTGAGTAAGCAGTTTTGGTGTAGTGTCTGTATTTATAAAAGGTATTTATTTCCTCAAAACACACCTGATATACAGTACACTATATGCTCAACAAGTTATGACAACACTTACATTGCTTTAACTCATCAAAATAACTTTTTCAAAAAATTTTCATGTTATACTTTGTTTTTTAAAGTCAGTTTAATGTCATTTTAAGGGACACTCCACCCATTTGCATTAAGCTTTCCGTTGTTAGAAACCCAGTTAAACTATTTAATGGTCGTGCGACACTCTCTCATTTTCCCCTGAGACGAGAGAAATCTGCTATTTACCTTTTTCACTTCCTTCTACAATGACGCAAAAATCGTAATTTTACGTCATTGTAGGAGGAGGTGTAAGAGGGGGGGATTTCTGTAAAGACTACAAGCACTAGATCCCACCCTTTCAAACCCGCCCATAGGGGGTTGGGCCTAATGTGCTAACAGACCTATCACAGATCGGTGCCAATGCGTTTGATTTCACCGGCAGAAACTTTTTGAAAATATGGACGATGGTACTGAATATGCAGACGGATGCATTATGGATAGGGTTGGGTACCGAAACGCAGTGCCAATAGGGAACCGGTTCTGACGTAAATGACGAAAATTCTGACGAAAATTTCGGTGCGTGAGTCTTTGTTTCACGAAGCGCACATACGCAAAGTCCCTCGTGTGCGCACTTTACGGTTTGGAGCACAGTCCGATCTGTCTCGCATGTGCGCTCTCGCTCGCTCGCTCTAGATTACGGGAGATTTAAACTAATTTGGGGACATCAGGGAGCCGTTATCAATATGCGGGAGACTCCCGGAACGTCTGATAGCGAGGGTATTAATGAAGATGCCGAAGACAAAACGCTCCAAGGTTTGACTGCATTTCATGTGTAAAATTACGTGTCAGAGTAAGTGTGCCGATTGCCTGAAGCCCATATAGAATCACGCCAATCCATTGGCTGATGGCACGGGCGCCGCCTTGACGCTCTTAGGTCGTCATATTATATTAGCGCGCATTATTTGATTTCATTGTGCGAAATGATTTCCAGGTGGTAGTGTAGAGTGGAGCTCAACTCTAGTCTACATTGATGAGCGGAGTAGTGGGAGTGGCCTGCGGAGCTGAGCATTGCAATGCACTATGGGGATTGTTGTCTACAATTCACAAGCACTAAAAAGTCATTTTCTGCCTTTTATCGGCCAAGAAGGACCCAAATTAGATATTTATGATACTATTCTACTACATATATGACCCACTTTCAATACATTTTCATGTCTCCACTGGTGGAATTACCCTTCAAGTTTAAATGACTTAAACATCAAAGTTGATTGTACTTAAAACTTTTTACAGTAAGATTTAATATATATAGTATTTCCATTCTGAATGTGTCCCATTTTAAATTAATATTAACTTAATGTTACTCATGCATGTGTTTTTTTTTTGGCACAATTGTTCTGAAATGGAGTAATTCACAAACTTAATCTTGGCAATATTATACACAAAATGTTGTGAAATAGAACATTATTGTTGTTTTATATTGCACAATATAAAATCACAAATCAAGTGGTGTGTGCCACAAATTTAGAACAAAAAACACATATTAGAAAGCTAATATGCACTAGTGTCCACAACTACACATTAGCTAATATGTGCACTAGGCCATGTGTGCTCTTAATTTTATGAAAGAAGAAATGTGCCTGCTACATCATGAAAAAATGATTTTTTTTTTAGCCTTTGGTGACTTTTGCAATGTTTCTGAGCATCACCTTTAATCATGTATGCAGAAGAAGTCGCGCGTTACACACACACACACACTCAGAGAGAGAGAGAGAGAGAGAGAGAGAGAGAGAGAGAGAGAGAGAGAGAGAATTCCTCCGCGTTGTAGCTTACAGGTTATGAATATTTGGTGATAGAACTTGAATTGAGCGGAAGAAAGGAAGACATCACGGCTACTTTTGTTGTCGCGTTTTTGTTTTCCTCTCACACGAGTGACGAGTTAACTAGACTTTCTCAAGCGACTGACACATTATCCAAAGAAACAGGATCGTTTTATATCTGTATTCAGTAGAAAAACAATGGCTTTTATGTTTAAACACATGATAGGTGGGCAGCTGAAGGATCTTACCGGGGGTCTTGGAGAAGAAAAGCCAGAAGGAGAAAAGACCGAGGCAGCAGCAAAAGGAATGACACACGAAGAGTTTGAACAATATCAAGAACAGTTGGCGGAGGAGAAGTAAGACTCTGCACTTCATCATGATCAAAGAATGTGATTTTAAAACTTTGATATTTTTTAACATGATCAAAAAAATGTATTTTATTTGATCTTTATAATATATTCATAATTTCCCCCTCCATTCTTATTTAGTTTGGTAATAGCAAATGAATATGATGTTAATTTAAAAAATATATATAAAAAACAGTAATTTAATGCATTTTTTTAAAGTAATTGTATAAATATTTATTATAAATAATTGGTTTTAATTTTATCTTCAGATACATTTTCAGACATTATATATATATATATATATATATATATAGACCCTTTCCCTCCTGTTTGAATTTAATACACAAGCTGCACAGTCACTTGTTCAAATGTAATACAAGGAGATGCCAAGAAGGTCAATGTTTATCTCCAGCTTCCTGTATATCTGTGGTTTAATCAATAGTGCCTGTCACCTTGCTCTCCAGATCCGTGTTTCTCTAGTTTGGCCTTGAGGACAGTGACTCCTCTACAGAAATGCACATGCAGCTGTTTTTTGTCTATTGTGTGCATTTTTGAATGGCATCGTATTACATTGTCCTAGACATAAAAACGTTCAAATGTACACTGAACACAATTTCAGATCAATTATACATTTCAGGGAATCATGTTTAGCTAATATCTTTTTATAAAAATAAAAATAAAAGTTTTAGGTTTCAATCTAGCTTCTATTCAGGTCTATCATCTAGCTTCTATCATGCAGGTTGGAGCGGGATACCAGCTTTGCCCAGAAGAAGGCTGAACGGGCCACAGTCAGGAGCCACTTCAGGGAAAAATATCGTCTTCCAAAAGTAAACATCGCTTTAATAAAATGCACTGTATGAACCATTGTTATTTCATTATTAACTTGTACTTTTTATTTACAGAGTGAACTGGACGACACACAAATTCAGGCTGCGGCAGACGACGTGGAGTTGCCCACAGAACTGGCCAAGATGATCGCTGAAGACAACCAGGAGGAGGAGAACAAGCAGTCTGTCCTGGGTCAGCTGACCAACATTCAGAACGTAGATATTGATCAGTTAAAAGAGAAGGCCCAGTCCACCCTCGAAGACATTAGACAGTCGGCTGAAAAGTGTGATGTCATGTAATCCAGCCACGTACACGAGCACCCCGGAGTTGGACTGCTAATTGAGGATCATGTGTTTTGTCGGCTCCGATGACTTTAGGGAGAATATAGGGAATAAATCAGATCCGTAAACAGCATGCCTATAATGAGATGCTTTGTGAAAGATGAGCTCCTACCCAAAGCCAAGCAATCATATACAAATCTGAAGTGTTTTTAAGATCGCAAATAATGTTTGCCACACCATATACATTGTCATAAGGTAATAATTATCAGTTAACATCTCTCTACTTGTTGTTCTTTAGTGCTTAAAATGTTCTATTTGTTTATATGTGATTGGCTATTCTACACCTACTTTAAATTAGCCATAAAATGTTACAGAATACAGTAGGCTATTTCTGTCATATTAATAAAAAGTAGAAAATACACAATTGCTTAAATTATACTATTAAACTAGTATTTATGTATTTGAACCTTTTTATCTATAGAACGTGTATATTGATGTATTTACGTGAAGTGTGTAGGTAAAACATGAATTGTTATTTTTAGGTGAAACTGAACCTAAATATAAACTTGTAAACATTATTTTTTCATTTCTTTTTGTATACATTTTATTTATTTATTTAATGTCAGTCAGGTTTGACTTACATTTGTTAACTATAATAAATGTTAACTGAAATAAAATATTAAAAACAGTTAAACTTATTTTATTTCAGCTTACTTGTTGCTCATTTGCTCCATTTGTTATTTGGCTGTTCTAAAATAAATTAAGGTACTAAAATAAATAAAACTTAAATAAAAACTATGTAACGTTAGATATTTTTTTATAAAATAAAAATAGTCTACAACTAAAAACGTTCACAATTCAAATCGTCTAATTTGAACTAATAATGGAACCACTGTAAAAAGTCGATGTTTTCTTAGACTCGTTTGTGTAACGCAACTGAACTGTGGTGCACCAGGAAAAACATTCCCCCTCTATCTGTCATTCAATCCTGATTCAATCGATGTTTGGAATTCACACACACACGCGTGACGGAAGCGTCGATGGACACCGAAGCGGATCTCTTTTATCGTCAGCTGCCCAAAGTGGTAGGAAACACAAAAATACATTGTTAATAAAACACAGTTACATTAATAAAATAGATCATGAAGTCAAATATGGTGTTTATTTTTCATTCAGGAGCTGCACGCGCATCTCAACGGATCAGTCAGTTTTGAGATTATGGAGACGCTGATTCAGCGCAAGCCGCATCTGAACATTGAGCACAGCATGACCGCCATCCGCCGCGGACAGCGCCGAACACTGGACGAGTCCGTATCAAACACCTGCACACTTCAGATGAACAGACTCGGGTTTATAACGTTTTGACAATTACAAACATGTAGTGCTGAAAATAAATCTGAAGTACGTTTGAAATAGTATACTCTCTGAGTAGGCACTTTTGAAAAACATAAAAATCTAGTTCTCGACAGTCAAAGAAGTCCTATAGTATAGTATCAATGTGTGTAACTTAGAATTCATTTATTCCATACTTAACGTTACTACATCCGTCAAGTTGTCAACGTCATTTATTTATTATTTAGTTCTGTAATAACAGTCAAATACAGAACAAAAAAAGTACAATACTTAATCGTCCAGAGAATGTGAGATAAAGTACAAAACAACAACAACAATAATACAGATACATAATACATTAATTAATATCATATTAAGTTTCTTATTTTGGTTCTCATGTTCCAAAAGGTCTTTAAAATGTTATGTAAGCTTTTTTTTTTTAGTTGGTTAGTCATTCTTGACTTGGGAATGTAACATTTTTGCTAAAATAATTCAAGTATTAATGAGGTGATTTTGTTTTCAGTAAAATAGTAAGGTTATAGGTACACACACACACACACACACACACACACTCACGGAGTGCTGCAGTGCATTTACAGTATAATATTGATTAATAATTTTGTATTTTATTTATTTTAGAAATACATTTTTATAAGGTAATGTCCAGATGCTGTGCTATGATATGGTAGGGTTAAAGCCATTTTGATTTACGTGGAGGATTATTTATCAAAGAAGGAGTTACCATTAAAGGTCGGGCATTTGTGACCTTCAGTTGTATCACTTCACTGCCATTCACAACTCCTCCCTGATGTCTCATGGGATAGTAAATTGTCCATTTGCCAGAAGTAGTTCATTTAGGTAATTTTTTGACTACCATTTAATGAATACTGTGAAAAGTACATAGGCCTACTTCTTGAATCACTGCTTTTTCCTAACTAATAAAGAGTAGAAATGTATACATATTTGGATGAAGACATTGGTTGTGTGTAGACACAATCCCCGGTTTCACAGACACGGCTTAAGCTTAGTCCCAGACTAAAACTGCATGTTTGAGCTGTTTTAACTTTAAATATGCCAGTGCCCTTGTTCTGTCTCAAGAAACACACCAGTGATGTTTTTTCTAAGGCACATTTATAAAAGCTACGTAAACATTCTAATTGAATGTGAAACCCTGGGCATAGTGTACTAGTCTAAATCCTAAGGGAGCTTTTAAATGAGTGTATCTCTCCATTAGGTGTTTTCAAGTGTTTAAAGTGATTCATCAGCTGGTTGATTCAGAAGAGGACATCCTTATGGTAAAGCAACATTTGCTCAAAGTTTCATTCTTTTACATGTATAAGAATAAATTAAAAAAGTGAAATTATTCTGATTAAATAGGTTGCTAAAGCAGTCATTCAAGAGTTTGCGGCAGATGGCGTAAAATACTTGGAGTTGCGTAGCACGCCACGGGAAGTGACTGAAACAGGTACTGGAAGCAGTTCATATGTCTAAACAATTATTAGCAGCTCATTTCTGCTTATTGTTGACATTTATTTTTGTCACCAAAAGGTCTCACTAAACAAAGATACATTGAAACTGTGCTGGAAGCCATCCGGCAGTGTAAACAAGAGGAAGTTGACACTGAAGTCAGGTAATATTTCAATATTAATTCTGTATTTTATAGATGTTTTCATGGTCACCTACTGCATGCTTGAATGTTTGAAACAGGTTTCTCGTGGCTGTGGACCGCAGACACGGGCCTGACGTTGCAATGGAGACCGTGAAGCTGGCAGAAGACTTCATGCTCTCCAGTGATGGAATAGTAGTCGGACTTGACCTCAGTGGAGATCCGAACGTGAGTTTAGATTTCAATAACATCATACTCCAGTTTCTGGGCTGCTGTCTCCATATCTTTGATCATACAGGTCGGTCATGGAAAAGACTTGCTCTCTGCACTTCAGAAAGCCAAGAACTGCGGCCTGAAGTTGGCTCTACACCTCTCAGAGGTCAGAGCACATGGAAACATCTCCATATCGTAAGTTTGTTTTGGTATGAATGCTTTTTACGTGGTTAACGCCAGAGTTTGTGTGTATTTCAGGTTCCTTCTCAGAGAGATGAGTCCGAGCTGTTGTTGAACTTGCCTCCTGATAGAATCGGCCACGGAACCTTCCTACATCCTGAGGTCGGTGGATCGGACAGTCTTGTGGAGAAAGTTTGCAAGCAAAATATTCCTATTGGTACGAGTTTTCCATCTTAATTCCAAAATTGCATACTTAAACTTTAAAGAATTCTTTTAAAAACTCTTTTACTATTTTTTTTTTTTTTTTAGGATTTTTATATAGTGTTCTATAGTATTTTTGAAATTGTATACTTAAACTTTAAAGAATTTTTTAAAAAACTTTTTGGACAAGTTTTCCGTCGAAATTCCAAAACAAAATACTTGAAAGAAACTTTAAAGAATATTTTGAAATGGTTTAATATTTTATTTTTATTTCTGAACTTCAGATGACATTTTTAAATTATTTACTTAAATTATTTATTATTTTATGTTATTAACTATGTAATTAAGTGTATTTTAAGTGTATTGTTGTAAATTGAATACTAATGTCATAAATCGTATATAAATCTATAAATATTATAAATCTATTATAAACTTTAAATAAATATTTTTTAAGCTTTTATTTTACAATTTTTTATTTAATTAGATTTTCCATTATAATTCCACAATTACTTGCTTTATAATACACACACATATATATATATATATATAGTGTTCTGTTATAATTCATGTTCTTGTTTTACAGAGCTGTGTTTGACCTCTAATGTCAAAGGTCAAACAGTGCCTTCATATGAGAAGCATCACTTCCAGTACTGGTATAAGCGAGGACACCCATGTGTTCTCTGCGTGAGTTCCTCCCAACACACACACACACACATACTGTACACACTATTATGCAGTTCAGACACTTTTTAAATTAATGCAAATTAACTTTTTTCTTAAGGTATAAATTCTATTAGAAAATAATGATATGCCTGTTGCTCCTCCTGTCCCATCAGACGGATGATAAGGGTGTGTTCTGCACGGATCTCTCTCAGGAGTACCAGCTGGCTGCCTCCACCTTTGGTTTGACTCAGGAGGCCGTGTGGAATCTCTCCCAGCAGGCCATTGGATACACCTTCGCCCCTGAGCCAATCAAAAATAGGCTGGAGAAGAAATGGGCGGAGCTCAAACAGCAGATTCTCCATTGAGGAATGACTGCTGTAAACTTCACCACTCCAACAGTCCTACCTCAGACAGCCGAAACGGCGGCTTTTCATAAAACGAAGGCACATTGTTGCAGCTAATGTCGCTCCTTAATTTCAAAGCACACGCTGCATTAATATCTGAACTAATATCAAAAATACCTATGTTGTGTGAAAATGATTTGAAATTGATTTTAATATTTATCATAGACTATAAATATTGTTATTTTTAATATTGGATATTAATACAAAAATATTAAATATACATTTATCAATTACACAGCTTCTATGAAAGTGGTCTATTTTATTTAACATTTTTCAATACAATGTTGTTTCTTAATAAATCATTCTCATTTGCATATGTTGCGCAGTCAGTATCTGGTTGGATAAAAACAGAACTAGAAAATTTGTTTAATTCTCTTGCTCATGGGCTCATACAATGTTTTGGTGTGTTTTTGCTCCAGTTAAAGGGTTAGTTCACCCAAATGTTGGTAACCCAAATGAGCCCCATTGACTTCCATAGTTTTTTTTTCCCCTATGGAAGTCAATAGCTGTCAACTACCTGGTTATCAACATTATTCTAAATATCTTCTTTTGTGTTCAGCAGAAGAAATAAACTCATACAGTTTTGGAACAACTTGAGGGTAGGGGGGTACCCTCGCATGAATGTGATTTATTTCTATATTCTTAGAGGATAAAACAGTTGATGTTGCATTTTTGCATTAAATTAAATTATAAACAAAAAAACACAGTAGTTGCACAGCTGTGTACTGTAAACAACCAAAAGGTTTTTACCGTTAGAGGGCAGCAATTCATTATAAAACAACAAAAGTTTTTACCATTAGAGGGCAGCAATTCATTATAAATGTCACAAACTGCAAAGTGATTCTGGTTTCTCTGAGTGATGAATCACGGTACACAACTCAGATCTCGGTTTGGTTATCTCCTCAAATATTTTCTGTCCCCTCTAGTGCCAGAACTAAAATAAAAAGTGCTTCTGATAGCATACAGTTAAAGTCACCGTAAAATAAAAATGTTCAAATCTTGTTTCATTTTTTTAAAGGAATATTGCCTTAGCCTATTAATTATAAATGATTTCTCCTTGCATGCCTCTTTTATTTAAGTCATGTGCTCTCATAATCTTTAATCAAAATAACTTCCACTTCCTCTTGCAGCATCATCTTTTCTGACGACATGATTATTGGCGTGAGGAAGGGCGGCACAATCTGTCACAGTCACTCACATCGACTAAAAACAAACCTCAACCGTCTAGTCATCCAATCAATTCCCCATGGACGAAATCAAGTCCGACCCTACATTTTTATAACCCACTAACCCTGGGCTGCGTTCAGCACAAAACGTTGCACGTGTTTAAAACCATTGAACCAAAGTTGAACACACTGTTCTGGTGACGCAAGAGTTGCAACTATGGCAGGTGAGAAGGCCATTCTTTGTGAAGAATTGTCTGAGCCTGATGAAGTCGCTATAAATAGCCAGTGTGTTTAATACCACAAAATATTAGTCTGGGTTTCCCCTGCTGCCTTCCCGCAGCGCGATTTTATTCACGTCGCTGAAAGTCAGTCTGGATACCACCATGGCTATTGGCTACCCTCATTTAGGGAACCAATCACAGAACGGGGAGGGAGCAGCAAGACTATGACGACATCTATGCGACACACCGAAGCAGTTTGTTTATATCTATGGATTCAACATGGCCGACAGCAGACGCGAAGCTTCCTTTTGATGCAGCCTTAGATATTGTTCCAAGTTGTTTAGAATGCAAGTTTATTTTTTAAAAGAGCAGCTTTTGGCGTTAAACTTCGCGAGAACCCAGTCGTTATTGTTGTCTCGCCATTAATCACCCTAATGGAGGACCAGGTACAGGAGGCGGGCAACTTTGGAATATCTGCCGCTCAGCTGTTTCCCGAGAAAGAAAAAGCGATAAAGAATTGTCGATACCAACTTCTGTTCGGCAGTCCCGAGGCCTGGATGAGCGCAAAGTGGGGCAAGACATGTTAGCCACGGAGTTGTATAGTACCAACCTGCTAGACATCGTCGTCGTCGACGAAGTCCATTTAACTTATAAATGGTAAGTGCTATTTATTAATATCATATTGTCATCATTATGCCTGTAGACTACCTACTGTGGTTGTCACAGTGCCACTAAGTTGTGTTGCTTTTCAATATCAATATACACTACAGCTACCGCTTTAGTAGCATAACTTTCAGCTGTGCACACGTATTTTTAATTGTGTTGCTTTTCAAAATCAATACACAGCTACCGCTTTAGTAGCATAACTTTCAGCTGTGCACACGTACCCGATTAAAGTTGTTGACACTTTAATCATTAAATTAATTTTTTACTTTTTTTAAACTTGTGAAGTAGGGCTGGGCGATATGGCCAAAAAATCATATCTCGATATTTTTTGGTCAAATGGCGATATACGATATATATCTCGGTACTTTCTACGTTTTCTATTTAGATAAAGAAAATCTTTATATATAAAATATATATATATATATATATATATATATATATATATATATATATATATATATATATATACACAGTATATTCACATTCGGCCCAATGATATCCTACAAACAATGTTGATATTGAAGGATATGGAAACAAATATAATATAGGCTATGCAATATATTATGTGCAAAAAGCTTTTGTTTTTATATTGACTAAAAGCTAAACTAAAAATGAAAATAAAAACAAAAACAAAAGCACAAACTAATTATATTAGCCTGCATTTGATTACCCCATTATAATCACTTTCACTTTCATTAAAAATATATACTTGTAGCTTTAAAATTCCACATATGGCACATTTATTTTCTCCAACAACAAATATTTTAGCAATATGTTTATTTTAGTCAGAATTATTGCGTACTACGTAGTACTATTCACGCGCATGCGCGCGCCGGCGCTCGTTCAAGGAAGCATGAATTTTAGCGGAGATTCACTTGCAGAAGCTCGTCCTCTTCTGACATGGACATATTTGTTGTGAAATGGACATATTTGCTTTACTTTCTAACATTTACAGATGGAGAATATGTGAAATGTAAGTTGAGCACTGAGGAAAGCACCACATCTCAAACGCATTAAACAGCGCAAGTATATCTGTCAGTTACAGTGTCTGTCAGAGCATTTGACAGGGCGGCAAGCTGCCTTAAACTTGTTAACTATATCAAAGTGATTTTGACGCAATTAATATAAGCTTGTGTCATGTTTAGGACAAATTGTACTACGTAGCCTAGCTACTTTCACTGCAGCAGCTCACACTGCAACCTCCGCTATTTTTCAGATGTGCTCATATCAAACTACTGTATCGATATAAACGGTATTGCCTCATTCCATATCGTTTCAAAAAATATAACGATACATCGTACATATTCGATATATCGCCCAGCCCTATTGTGAAGTACAAGCAAGCACAAAGAATTTCCAATGCAAATAACAACTTCAACATCTATGTTAAACTGTACTTAATACTTGTGTTTTTCTAAATGAAACGATTGGCTATGCTGTACAGGCGCATTTGATAGACATTCTTAGCACCCAATAAACGGCGCTGGGCATTCGTAAACCACGCCTCAAATACGGAGATGGTTCTCACTGCGGAACATGAAATCCACGGGGAGGAGTCGGATCCAGATCCAACTCCTCCCACCTTACATACACCTAAACCTACCCTACCCCACCTCCTGATCCCTAAACCCAACCCTAATCCTATACCCATCTCCACCCCTTGGATCTTGATCCGACTCCTCCCCGTGGATCTCATGTTCTGCATTGAGGTGCTACTGGAAATACGGGAAAATGAACATGTGGTTCCCAGACCCATGAAGTCTCAACAAGAATTGGGTCTGGCGTTAGCCAGGCTAACAAAATATGCCCGATGGTACAGTTGCTGCACTTGCTGCCCAGAACACAAGAGAACATCCCAATTGAGTGAAGGGATTTGTGGAAACTGAAATGGAAGCATATGTTACCTAATTCAGACAAGTTCATACTGTTTTAATACCTTGTATTTTCTTTCTCATTTTTTGAAAAAGCATTTCATTAAATTCCTAAATAGTAGGCCTTTTTTGTGTTTCATACTGGGTAAAATCAATTCCAAAATGCGTGTCCAGCTCCATAGGTGGTGCCAAATTACAAGAGAGACCGGGGCTACTTGTCACACTTTTCAGTCTGCAACTATTCAAAAGTTTGGGGTCTGTACGTTTTTTTATTTTTTAAAGAGATTATTACGCAAGGATGAATTAAATTGACCAAAAGTGACGGTGAAGACATTTACATGGTTATAAAATAATTATATTTCAAGTAAACGCTGTTCGTTTGAATTTTCTGTTCATCAAAGAATCCACAAAAAAAAAACTCATGATAATAAGAAATCAGCATATTAGAATGATTTCTGAAGCATCATGTGACACTGAAGACTGGAGTAATGATGATGAAAATGTAGCTTTACCATCAAAGGAATAAAGTACTATTTAAATTGTAATAATACTTATGATGAACATAAGAGACATCTTTCATTAACATTTTAAAAAACTGTAGCCTACTGACCCCGAACATCCATTGTCTTACCCACAGACAGTTTGCAAATGACCTTTTTGGTTGCGGTTTTTGCGATTGTATCTTTTTGTTTAAAGAGTGGGCCTCCTATTGTCTCTTTTAACAAGTCACATTTGTAATTTATTCAGTCGTAGCTTTAGGGCCTCTGTGCCCAGTAAATGTAAAGGGCAGAGGTCAAACAATCCAGTCAATACCATCAATGTCTCTATACCACCCAACAAAACTTCATCTTCGATGATGACCCCTCCACGTTTAGCACATAATTATGCATTTGTTGTAGGAACAACACTTGTATTAAGTATTAAGTTCAGCTCGAGACAAATGTTTAGTAGCTTTTTATCAATGCGTCCTTGTTGATTCATATTATAAGACAGATAAAATGTTAATGACCTAATGTGTTTATGGATGGTGACCTCCAGCAATTTCCTTCCTCTTCAATCATTGCTTGCTGTGTTGCTCATTTATGTTGTTTTATAATGACTTTATCATGGATTTTGTCTACTTTATTGGTTTAATACTCATTGGAAAACCTGTGAGAGGTTTTTAGATGTTATAATTTCCTTTGCTTGGCTAAAACAGCCACATGACGCTGGCAGCTGTCCAGTGAGATATTCCACAGAGATGTGTCTTCTTCACAAGGCCTCTGTATGTGTTTGGAAAGCATATTTGACAAGCGGGTGATGATGCCAGACAGACAAACTGCAAAGCTTGTCTTGCTGATATTACCTCAACAATACCCAGATGCATTTGTTTTGTTAGCAAGAGCT